CAATTTGGACATTTAGATTGGGTATAATCTATATATTTGTCATTTATAATTATTCCATTTTTATTTAACCTAATCTGCATAAAAAACTTTTTAATGTTAAAAGCTATATTTGTCAATATATAGTTGTTATTTACTGGATAATTTAGAATTGTTGTATACCAGCTTGTATTTTCTCGTTTTTGTATATCTTCAACGTCTTGGATAATAGAGTATTCCATAACTCTGTGTATTATTTCTTTACTATACTGCTCCATATCATACGTATGATCCATAAACAGTTTAATAGAAAATCCATATTTATTTACTATCTTCGATAACTGAATTATCCAACTTCGTCTTAAGTCCGTTTCCCTTGATTTGTGATGTAGTAAGAACAGCAATTTTGTTGTTATATCTTCAGCTTTAATAATTTTTAGTAAAAACTTTAAATATCTTTTTATTAGTATAGTATTTATTCTGAATCTATGTGTTTCTAATCTTAAGGCACTACCCGGGATATTATATTCTAGCTGGAATATCTTACGTATGAATATATTCTGTATTTTCTCAAAGTCATTAAATTTTTCCATGCTCCAAATTGGGGTAGCATATCCCATTGAGTTCATCACAATCGAATTAAATAACTGAAAATGTATACGTATGTTCTTCATTTTTGCCTTGCAGAATAGACCAATTAAATTATTTATTGCAATTTTTGCTTTACTTAGTGAATTTTTATAATGTTTTTCAAACGAGAGATTAGGTGTGAATGTAACTCCTAAAAATTTAATTTCCTTCACTATCTTCACTTCTTCTTTATTAATAAAGAAAGACATGAAGTGAAGTTTGTTGTTATACATCAAACTTCACTTCATGTTATATATACATATATATACATATACACATACATGCACACTGCTTGCCAAGTTTTTAGAACACTTGGAACTTTTTGTTTATTCTGTTATATTTAATGTTAATTTCTTTGTTTTTGTTATAAGATATATTTGCTTTGAATTAAATACTTTTTGTTCTAAAATGACTTCGTCAGAAGAAATAAAGTAAAAGATTCTTCAGTTATCCACTACAGGATTCACCATAAGAAAGATAGCACAGGGAGTCAAAAAGCAGCCATATACTTTTTCAATGTATTACATAATAAAGATTGGAGGAAAGGCAAACAAACATATTGGGCACCTAAAAGCAATACAGAAGCATCATGTCTGCAACAAAGTAGCAAGAGACCATATTGTCAACAGTCAAAATATCAAAGAAAACTCAAATTAGGTACTTCCTGGCATTCTATTTGTCAATTTATGGCTGACAACTTTTCTTATAAAAAAAGTGAAGAAAAATCTGCCATTGACAGATAATCATAAATACCAACATCTTGAATTTGCAATGACTATATAAGAGAACATTCCAATTTTGATTTAATTATATTTAATGAAGAAAAACATTTTTGTTTTGAGGATTTAGAAAATGCCAAATCTTATTTTGAGAAAACTGCAAGAATTAAAGTAAAACCTCATCATAAAAAATGCCATCAAGAAGATGACTCCTTAATGGTTCTGGGTGCCATAATTAAGTTAATTGATAATCAAATGCATTGATAGAAAGTATAATGCCATGAAGTATCTGAATGATCTGAAAACATTTCTACTTTTATGTGAAAAATTTTTTCAAATGGAAAATGGTTTGACAGCAAGATAATGCTGCAATTCATACATCTCGCATAGTTAGGCATTACTTTCAAGAGAATAAAGTTCCCATAATTGGCCAGCTCACTGTCCTGACTTGGACATTATAGAAAATCTTCGGCATTTAATGGAACAGAAAATTTATGAACAGGGACAGTTTAATTCTTGTGAAGAGTTAAAGTATGCAATTCAACATTGTGCTGATAATTTTGATAAAAATGTTATTGTGACTCTTTATAAATTAATTCCTTCTAGGTTGTTAAATGTTGCAGAGAAAAATAGCAGTGCAACAAGTTATTAATTGTTAATTTAGTATGTATAATTTTCTGTATCTTTAGTGAAGTAAAACTGTTCTAAACTTTTGTCCATTTGTCTTCCTTAAAAACTGGAATAAAAATCAAATTCCAACACATGTCATTCTGAAATTCTGTTGACTTACTTATAATAATAAATTAACGAACAACCCAAAAAAATCAATTTCAAAAAATAACTTGTTCTTGAGACATGTGTTCTAAAACCTTTTGGCCAGCAACATACACTCACTATATAATTTACATAGTATAAAATATATATAATTAGTAAGATTATATATATTGTGTATAGGTACACACACACATTATATATCATCTTACTATTAAAAAATTAGTTTAAAAATTTTTCTACTCAGGTTTTGTTTAGTTAAGTTTGAAGATTTAATTAATATGTCTGTTCTTTTTTCCCAAAATTCTCTAAAAATATTTTGACTAAGCTATTAAAAATTAAATTTCTTGTCTTTAAATAATGGTCCTGGAACATTACTTGCATGATTAGGATTAGCAATTTGCTTGATAAGCAAACTGCTATCATATCATGGCTTCTTACCAGCTAGGTTTTCATCACTGGTAGTTTATCATCTGTTGCAATATAACTTGCTTTTAATATCCCATTTTCTAAATCTTTTACTCAATTTCTTTAATTTATTTATTGATTTTTCTGATTCAACATATTCTTTGCATCTGTCTTTTAGGCATTGTATCTTCTCTCTTAAAAAAAGACAGCATTTTTTTGTTAGTGAACTTTAGTCTGCAGCTCCTGTATAGTGCATCTTAAACCTACACTGAATTTTTTTCTTTGGCCTTATTATAAATGAAAAAAATGATAATGGCCTAAATGCATTTGGTTTATCATGTGTTAAATCATTTTCCACTTCATGACTGTAGGTATTTCCCTATTTTCATTCTGAACCTTATCTCTATAAAAAGTTTAAAAAATTACTCAATGGGATTGGCTAATGAAAGCAATCAAAATGAATTAATGACACAAAAATAATTTTCCTGTTACACCACACAGTACTACCACAGAAGAGACCTACACTAAGTAAGTAATCTAGGCAAAATGCATTTGGAAGAAATATATTTTTAAAAGTACCAGAATACAAGTTATCCCTTTTGACTGTGTAGTGTAATATTAAATATTTAACCTCTAAAATCAGCTTAAAAAGAGAAGTCACTTCTTGCAAATATTTTAAAATTTTTTATTATATGATATTTTAGAAAATATTTTTCTCTTTCTTGAAGTACTTGAGAGTTGTTAGGCAAGGAAGTATTTATTAATAGTTATTAAACTATTAAAATATAAGTGTGTTAAAAATTTTAAAACTAAAATCATGCAACAATAAATGAGTTTGATAGTTTCAAAATTACATGACTAGTTCATCCTTATTAACATGGAGACACCAGCAAAAAAACATAAGAAAATTGCACAATGAAACTTGAATTTACAATTACATTATAAACTAAATAAAAATAATATAAAAATATCTGTAAATAATAATTATAAAATTTATTCAAAATTTATTATGCATTTTTTAACCATTATAAAGAACAATTCAATTTTTTTACAACTTGTGAAAGTTTATGATATACAACATTTGATGTACAGTATGATAATATTGGGTTGTTTGGAAAGTAACTTCGTTTTTTTCCCCATGGAAAAACAAACAATATTTTTATAATAAATAAATATTTTATTGAATTATATATCGACCATTTTGGTCAAATACCTGCTGCCATCATTTCTGGTAGTAGTATGATTCCATGTTTATGAAACAAAAAACGGATACAAGTAATTTTTGACATTATCATTTCAAGTAAATGTCTTACAGTTTAAAAAATTTTGTAAAGACCGGAACAAGTAATATTCTGAGGGTGCCTGATCTGGCGAATATGGTTGGTGTGATAGCATGTCTCATCTAAGCTGTAACAGTTTCTGACCAGTTACCAAACTTGTGTGAAATTTGACATTATTGTGATAAAATACTATACCTGTTTTGTTGATCAATTCTGACCGCCTTTTCTGTTTGATGATATTACTCAATTTGTTTACTCGATGGCAGTACACTTTCGAATCAATTGTTAAATTGTCTGGTAAAAGCTCCAAAAAAAAATTTTCTTAAAATCCCAGCAAAGAGAGCATCTCTCTTTAAGAACATGCGGAACCAGCTTTGAAATGAAACCAATTCGTTTCAAGTAATCATAAACAGTTCAATTCAACAAATTTAATCTCTTACAGAATCAAACAATGGTCTCAGAAATTCAGTTCAGGATGAGACTTTGCAGGTCAGTAGTATACCACAAGGGTGTCCACCCAGAAGAATTGTAAAGCACACTAGCCGGAAGATTCCAAGGAAAAGGGCTCTAAAGTTTTAAGCGTAGCTCATATACCGGTCAATTTTACACTATGGCAGCACAGCAAAATGGGCGAGTCTGTAGCAAACTCACTTGCCACGCAGGAAATCTAAGTTTGTCCTATCTTTGGTTAACTTTTTTTTTTGTTTTTTTTTATTGTTTTAAAAATTATAACTACTTTTAAATAAAGTTAATGACCTGAAAATATTATCAATTAAATCATAAATTATTTTATTTATGAAATGACTGTTAAAGCTAATTAAAACGTGAATTAAAGATAATATTTTATTGGCTACAGACTCACCCATTTCACTGTGCTGCCATAGTGTAAAATTGACCAGTATATGAGCTACGCTTAAAACTTTAGAGCCCTTTCAGAATCTTCTGGCTAGTGCGCTTTACAATTCTTCTAGGAGGACACCCTTGAGGTATATTACTAACCTGCAAAGTCTCACCCCGAACTGAATTTCTGAGACTGTAAGGTCACCTTGTTAGTGATTTCACGCATTGTTATTCAGCAGTTTGCTTCAATCAGTACCTTTATTTTGTTTTCATTGGCTTCAACTGACAATCCAGAACGTGGTGCATCTTCAATATTGAAATTGCCAGAATGAAATCTTGTAAACCAGTTTTGGCACTGTCTTTCTCTCAACACATCATCTCCATACATGTACTGTACCACAATTTTTTTCTTGCTTGAACAGCATTTTGATTTTTTGGTAATAAAAAAGCAAAATATGCCTAAAATGATGCTTTCAATTTTCCATATTTGATGGGACACCAAAAGAAAATTGTACAGAATGAAACAAAATTTTTTACAAATACACCTTTAAATGTCAGCTGTCAAAATATGTAATGAAAATGTGGTTTAAAATGAAATTGGCTGGTAAAAATACATCTAATTCCTCTAGTAATAAGAAAATGAAGTTACTTTCTGAACAACCCAATATATCCATTTTTGTGCATTAATTATTTTTTAAATATCATTTATTTATAGAAATCCTATATTATTATAGTACAGTGGTGCCTTGTATAACGTACGCCTCGAATAACGGACGCTGCGAATAACGGGCTTTCTGTTTGACCGTTACGTGACTCGAGCAACGGACTTGCTGCGAACAACGGACTTTCCGTTCAGCAGTTACGTGAGACGAACAATGGACTTTCTTCGAACAAGTGTGAATGATGTTTCCACTCTTTTGCCGTTGCCAATGACAATCTGCTATTTTTAGGATATATTAGTATTATTAGAATGTATTATTAGTATATCTGAAGTAGAAATGTAATGTAATATATGTTGATGATTTAAATAATCATTAAATGTAATGTAATATATGTTGATGATTTAAATAAACATTAAATGTAATGTAATATATGTTGATAATTCAAATAAACGAAATGTAATTGTGTAGATGCCGAGGTGACGGGACGAAAAGAGGTTGTAAAAAACAAACGGAGCAAGAGTAGCTCGTAGAAGTGTTTAGTGATCTTAATTAATAAAGAATTATTCGTATCATATAATCTGGCAAGTTAAGTCATTTATAATGCATCATGGCTTCTAAAAAAAACAGAAAGGTGATTTCAATTGAAATAAAGCAAGAAATCATCAGGAGTGAAAGTTGACAACAACTTTCTTGTCGAATGGGGAGAGGTTCAGGAGTTTACCAACACTCATTATCAAAACAGAGCTGAGGCCAACAGGATCAATGATCTCTACGATGACACCTTTGTCCGTCATTTCCGACAGGTGTTAAAGAAGAAAGAGAAACAGACCACCTTGGTCATGTTTTTCAAGAAGCCAGCGGGCAAAAAACAAAGGATGGAACAAGAGAAGTTAACCCTGCAAGTTCCAGTAGCCTCTCCTGAATCTGACTCCGATTAAAAAAACAATAAAAAAAGACCCACTGCAATGTGTAAAAAGTCTGTATCTGTATGAATGTGTAAAGAAAGTGTTCTTCCACCTCCTCCTCACAACATCTGACTACCAGGCATAATTGGTGTCTGCTCCATTTTCATTTTTTATGGTACAGTATGGTTATTTTATGCTGCGGAACAAATTATATGTTTTAACATGTATTTCTATGGGAAAATGCGTTTCGTATAACGGACGTTTCACTTAACAGACGTGCACCTGGAACGGATTAAGTACGTTGTACGAGGCACCACTGTATATCACAATTTTGAATATTTTACTATTTCACAAGTTGAAAGATTGATGGCCAAATCATTACAGAATGCTGCTAAAAGACTTCAAATTTTGAATATAGAACTCTTTCTACAGGATCACATAAAAGTATATCAATATTAAAATTCTGCAGTTTCATAAATAATGTATAATAAAATTATGATAAAGTATATTAAGTAATATTTTTCATACCTGGATCATTAGCTTGTTGTTCTTGAACTTTCAAATCCATACATAATGCAAGATTTTGTTGCAAAACTAAGGATAAAAATCGAGCATGTGTAGAATCTAGCTTCTTCAATAGGGAATAGAGTGCCACTGTTCGTTCACATTCATTCCACTGATCAAACCATGCAGTAATGGTGTTAACTTGATCCCGAAACATTAGAGTTGATTTCATTATGTCCCCTAAATTTGTTTATAGCAGTATAAATACCAATTTCAAAATATTGTGGTATTTAAAATTTAATTTAAAAGATTTTATTTATTATATTAATATTTCAATTATAACTAATCCAATAATTACACTAATTATTTAGCATTAATATAATAGCCTGACAAGGAATCTGACTGCTCGTTTGATATTTAAAATATTAATTTAATTATAATTGAAGTTCTATGGAATAAAATAGCTAAGTACACTTACATAAGTTTATCAGTTGTTTTATTATGTATACTGTATCTAATAAGATTTTATGGATATGACTATTCCATTCCCCCTACTGTAAATAACACTTTAACTCAAATATTTAGCATTTACACTTTACTCACTTTATAATAAATCTCATGCAAAAACAACAGTTTTTTTGAGAATTCCTAAAAACATTAAATTTAACTTAAGAACTTTCTCCTTAGAATGCCTCAATTGTTATATACTGTATAAATAAAATTTTTTTCAATATTTTCTCACTTTCTAAAAATAAATTAGGACCTATATATTAAAATGTAATAATAAAAACTGATCTATTTTTGTGCATTATATTAATTCTATGACATAACCTCTTGCAAGAAGTTTAACTGAACAACTGTGATAAGTTCCAAAATTTCAAATATAATACTTCCACTTGTTTTATATTTTTCTTTTGCATTTCATATCTTTATTGAACAAAAGTAGTGTCATGTTTTTCAATATTTTATTGATCATTTAAAATCATGCTAAAAAGTCTTCATGGCTACACTTTCTTCAGACCTTTAAATAATAAGGATGGAAAGGTCAATTGTCTGTGGTACAATTGTCTGACATTCAGGACAATTGTCTGTGGTAGAGTTATATATAATTGAATAATTGTTTTAGATTTGAGTACCATTTCAAATCTTGTAAAGCAAAAACTAAATTTCAGCTAATTAAACAATACTAACAACCATGTATAATGTCAACAAAAGACTAAAATTAATTAATATTTAAAGTTGTGCATACCTAAGTATTGGATACAGGTTGAAAATCCCTTATCAATAATCAAAAAATCTCTAATATCTGAAAGTTTCCTGAGTACAGTAAGACCCTGCTTAATGCAGGGGATGCATTCCTAAATGACAAAGCGCTAAACTAAACAGTGTTAAACGAGGTAATTTTAAAGTAGAGTAAATAGGGATAGGGGAACACACAACCAAAAATAAACAAATTTTACTTTAATTTTAAGTTATATAATTATGCATATCAATATAAAAATATGTTAAAAAACACATAAACATATGCACACAGAAATGTAAAGTTCATTTTTTGTGATGAAAGTTCCGACTTTTCTGAAATTCTTTTTTTTTTTTTTTTGCAATAAAGTTGTGAAGTTTCATTTGTCACTTTTTTCTTTCCTTAGCAAATGTCGGTAACAGAAGATCGCATGAAAAATGCCTTATTTTGCTTTTGCACTCCTTTCAAAATCTGGATCATTTGCTACAATTTGATCAACGATTTCAGTTATTGTTACCAAATTTGTACTAAGGAAATCTGTAGAGAAATTTTTTGAGTTCTTCATTTTCAGATTCTCTATTTTCCAGTTCCACATGAATTCAATGTTCTGCCAGTTCTTGAAGGTCATTGTTGGTAAGACTCTCACCAGAAACCTGCGATAGCTCCTCAATATCCTGGCCCTGCTGTATCGATTTGGTTGACAATTATTCAACCTAACGATACAGCGATAGGCTCTTCTCATTGAGAATTCTTGGATACCTTTAGCCATAACTTCTTCCACACTTCGTTCATGCATTTATCGATTAATTCTTGCCAAGCAAAGCCGATATTGCCTATGGCATCCACGATGTTATATTTTTTCTAAAATTGCTAAACAAACATAGATTTAAAGAAAGTACACCTTTTTCCACCTTTTTCTGATTGGTTCGTGTTCATAAATAATCGTATTATATACATATCAATGAAATGCCGCGATAATTTAAATCGGCATAAATTTTCAGCTTTTTTCAGGCTTCGAGCAGACAGTGTTATATCGAATCAGCATTAAGCGAGGCAGTGTTAAGTGGGGTTTTACTGTACATTCTTTCTAACATGATGTATCACAAATGGAAAATTTCATAAAGCACTGGGAATGTTCCAGTGTTCTCCCAGGCCCTTCTTGCCAGACATCCTATCCAGATGATTTTTCTGCCCATCATGAGAAGAATGCATTTACAAAAGTTGTGACTTTTTTGTATTCCTTAATTAAGTGTAATTTGATCCCACTTTTTAACATATGTCTATCATAACAAATAAGGTGAGGTCAGGAACTAAACTAACATTTGAAATAAAACAACCTGTAATCATGGAAATGAAATACAAAGCTACAACAAACCAAATATGTTCTACAATTTCCAATGGCTAAATTTCAGAAAACATTCCTTGCTGATCTTCTCCAACAAAGTCTCTTCATCAGACTCACCCAATTCTCCTGCTACTTCTTTGCTGATTCTGTTCTACACACACTTTAACCCATAAAGAGATTTTGGATGGGACTTTCAACAAGAAAACTTCTTACAAATCACCCAAAATTTCTTAATATGTCTAGCCTGGGGAATATTAGGAGTATTCTCAGCATACAGACAAAAGTAATACCAGAGAGTGAGAAAGTGGCCATGGAAGTGGCACAGAAAGCAGAAGCAAGGTCTGGCCAGAAAAGCACTTTCTTGCATCTGTAATCCTTGTCAATGAAATATATCAAATGCTGCTTTAAACAGTCAACATAAGATGTTTTAGTCCCTAAGAAATGAAAAGTTCCAAAACATTTCCAAAACTGTATAAACATTTGTCAAACAACCCATTTCTTTGAGAAATTTTGCTTTGCTCTGAAATTTGAAGTTTTCCAGGGCATCAACTTTCTGTGCACAGTAGAAATGGCATTCTGGAATGCTAGTTGGGTCTTGAAATACAGTACAGGTAACCCCCGTATAACACAGCACTTCTATAGCACGGATTCGCTCTAACACGGTTCGAGAATTGATACCATCCCCCGTATAACACGGTATTTTTATAGCACGGATTCACTCTGACACGGTTCGAGAATTGGGTAAAACCCTCGTACAGCAGGAAATGTAATAAATTTTTACATACTTAACTAATAATAGTTCACGAAAATTATTATTTTCGTGAACTATTAGTATTTAAGTATGTAAATTTTCTCTTCTCGCCTTCTGTCGATACACGTGGTCCTTCTCGAAACTTGTTTCAATGTTGCCAGATCGCGACGCTTCTGCTTCTGATGTTGCCGAATGTTTTTCCCTTATTCCATACTTGTGTGAATACGGGGGCTGAAGGCTCCCGTTCAATGGTCAGGATATGTCAGGCGAGTGTAAAGAGAGATGATTGGGGTCGACGATAAGGTGAAGGGCGAGATCGAGTAAAGGAGTTTACCATTTTCTTTAACATAAAAAAAAATAACAATTTATTAAAGAATAGGCAAAATGACAAAACTACACAAAGCTCTATACCGACATAAAGTTTCTATACGACAGAGAGAGTTTCTCAGTCCCTTCATACCTCTTATAGCCGTCCACCCTGACGATTCTGAACGTGGATGCCTTTAAAATATCGATCCAAGGAATAATCCACAAATATGGCACAAATTATATCAAATCGCGACTTCAGCGATGATTTAATTCGAGGTTCATCGGAGATCGTAATTCCGCAGGCTCGGAAGATCGGCGCGACGTTGTTAATCCTGCGTTCGGTAATACACTCCCCTGAGAGGGGGTAAGAACGGCCTTTTATCCGTTTTAGTGGGAAATTTCCACCACGTGATCGGATGTACATAGGTTAGGGGTTATAGGTGTTCCAGGGATCTATAACAAATGACGACATTTGAATGCTAACTATCAACCTTTTTGCAAGACGAGATGCAAGTTCTGCAGAGAACAATGGATGTTGTTAGTTATGACCGGAAAGTTTACACAATCCCGGGCAAGATCGTTTTTTTCTACTAGGGCATTACATAAACAAAAGTTTTGATTAATTAACAATTTTGTTAATAAAAGAGCTATATTTCCGTCACCAAAATTCCGGATCTCACACTTGCTTTATTCTTCATAAGTGCATAGCACCATATAAGGAAATTTATAAAGACCTTTTAACTAGAAACAAGCAATCTAAAATTACATACATTTTGCAAAAGGTAAAGCATGGATCTGAAGATAATGCAGAAAAATGCTCAGAGGATAAGGATAACTTGCCAAGAAGAAAACGCTCTCGGTTAATTAATAGTGTTTTTAGTGATGACGAAGAAAACATTGTTTAATTTATATTAATATGTATCACTTTAAAAATTTTAATGAAGATATTTATCTTAATTATGAAAATGTACTAGCATGTTTTTTAATTTTTGGAACCTAACCCTCCTTTTTGTATTAGTTCTTTGTTTCGTATAACACGGATTCGCATTACATGGCAATTTTTTGGAACGTAACTACCGTGTTATACGGGGGGTTACCTGTACTTGTTTTTAATTGAACCTTCTTTCTAATGAATTATCATCTTGAATTTTTTAGATCAATTTTGTAAACTAAAACTGTTAACTTGAGAAAGATATCTTTTTAGAATAGCTGAAGTTTAAAAGGAGACATTTTGTTATGTCAAAACAATTTTTCTTATTAATCTGCAACCATAAAATCATATGATTTCTATAAGCAGAAAACAGCAATTTTTATTTATTTTTCTTTAACAAATCCTGTAATCTGTTACAAAAGTATAAATTTATTAAATTGTCCTTTAATAAACTTCATTCATTTCTTAATGTAGAGGACGTGGTTGCTGTATCATCAAATGCAGTGTGTAGCGTCTTTGTAATCCAAAAAGATGATTGGTAGACGAACGAACAGCAATTGGTTAGAAAACGTTACGTTTTATTTTAAAATTTTTAATTCAGATGTATTTCGGGTTGGCTTATATTCCCAACCCCTCTTCAGTGTTGTCATATAATGGTACAGCA